TGCCCTCAGCTAGATGGCCGCTTGTTTATCTCCAAGCCTTTAAGACCCCAGACGCTGTCTCTTTTGATAGCCGGGCACTGTCAACTTTCTTGTGTGAACCTACTAGTGCAGGCGCTGTTACGGTCCATCTTTTTTTTTTCCTTTCCAGTTTCCAAATGGTAATTTTTTCAGATTGTTTGAACATTAAATATATCTGTGTTCACAATCCAAAATAGTTACCTAGAGTTTGCTGCGTGTGTGTGTGTGTGCTTTCAGTGTGTGTGTGTGTTTTCTAAACTCTGGCACTGTTTTCGGGGCCGTTCAGATGGCCCAGATACAGGTCAAGAGAGAGTTTTCTTTTTTATGCTGCCAGTTCTGAGCACTTACAGCTTTTGGTTTGTTGGGGTGTGTGGCTTTTGTGGTTTTTTTGAACTCTGTATTCTTTATTTGTAACAATTGTATTTTGGGGTTGTTTTTTTCTATATCCTTTAACTCCAAAGTTTTCTTTTTCCTCCCCCTCCCCCACCCCTCCTTCTACATTCACAGTTGAACCGGATTATTAGGAAAGGTGCCTGTATCTGCCCATCATATTGAGTCAGGGTCTTCTTCTTGCTTTGCTTTCCCCTCTCCCCTACCAAGCACGATGTCCTTCTCCAGGGACTGGTCTCTCCTGACATGTCCAAAGTACGCCTCGCCATTCTTGTCTCTAAAGTAGTGGTTCCCAACCTTCCTCATGCCGCGACCCTTTCATTCAGTTCCTCATGGGGGGGGGACCCCCAAGCATAAAACGATTTTCGTTGCTACTTCATCACTGTCATGTTGCCACTGTTAGGAACTGGCGACCCCTGTGAAAGGGTCCTTCAACCCCCAAAGGGGTCGCGACCCACAGGTGGAGAACCTCCACTCTAAAGGGCATTCTTGGCTGTACTTCTTCCAAGACAGGCGTGTTTGTTCATTTGACAACATGAGTTCAAACGGCGAAAAACCCTCAGGTCAGTGAGTCTGTGGCAATGAGGGAGGGACGACTCAGAAAAGGGAGCGAAAGTGGTTACGCGACTGACAGCACACCATCCACATCTTTACGCTGTAGGTGTAGAAACGATTGAATTGGTGTATGTGTCCCTGCACATTTTCTCCACAATGAAAACAATATAAATAAAATTTAAATGAAATAAAAGTCATCTGGTGTGTGTGGTGTGTGTGTGTGCGTGGAGATTTACAGCATCGGAAACCCTCTATAGGGTCGCTATCCCTGAACTTAGGAGCTCCATCCGGAACCGGGCTGCTGGTTCCGATCCGGCTGTATACTTAGCAGCTGTGGGACCCCTGGAGGACATCACCTCCCTGCACGCGGTGGTCCCATCTGGAATACGGATGGGACCAGTGATTGCACCCACCTCCTGGGACTGTGGGTAGGCACAAAGGCCCTGGGGTTGTGCTCAGCACACTGCGCACCAGGACTCCAGTGTGATTTCCAGGCAACAAGGAAGAGGGCAGAGGAGTGACCGGGAGTCATCTGCGTGGTGGGGAGGAGCTGGGAGGACCAGAAGTGGGGTGATGAGCAAGAGCGCTGCGGGGGCGGTGCTTTGGTGTGGAGACCCCTGCTTCTCTGGAGAAGTGGCCTCTAAGCCGGGAAAAGCACCCGGGGACAAAGAGAAGAGCCAAGACCGTAAAAGAAGAGGGACTGAGCTGTCCTCCACCCACAAGCACCCATCATGGCATGGTGCAGGCTCCAGAGAGCTTTGTCGAGGCTCGGAGTGCGGCAGCGTCTGGGGGAGTCACCTGAGAGATGGAGGACCCGTGTCTGCCTGGTGTGTGGCCGTAGCCTCTGTGGGTAGCCGGGCACTACCTAGTTCTTCCGGTCCCCTTGTTCTGGAGGCTTGTCTGGACCCTGGTGTTGGGCCTAGCATGTTGGAGGTGGATGGAAATCGTGGCTGGGCAAATGGCGGCCGAACCAAATACCTTAAAGCAGCGATTCTCAACCTGTGGGTCGAGACCCCTTTGGGAGTCGAATGACCCTTTCACAGGGGTCGCCCGATTCACAGCAGTAGCATGATAGTGATGAAGTAGCAACGAAAATAATTTTATGGTTGGGGGTGGTCACTGCAACATGAGGAACTGTCTGAAAGGGTCGAGGCCTGAGGAAGGTTGAGAACCACTGCCTTAGAGAGCGAGTCTCCTCGGGAGGCAGGGGACACACACCCTTCGCCTCTGTCACCCCAGACTGTTAAGCAATGATTGGTGCCCCACCCAGAAATAGTAATAAAAGGATTATGTCCAAGTCCTCACCCAAGACCTGTGAGCATGACCTTTGCCTGGAAGTTGGGTCTTTGGCGATGCTATCCGTTTGCATATGGTCCAGGTAGGCAGCTGGGCCTTTCCTTCTTCCTATCTGCCTGTGTCTGCAAACTCTGCTAAGACCTGTCCAGCATCCCAGTGACACACAGCCTCCCCGGACAGACGGGTGCAGGCTGTGCAGGAGGTAGGGGGGCCAGGAATTAGGGGCCATTGGCCAGGAATCGAACCTGGGCTTCCCAGATGGAAGATGAGAACGCTATGGAGTATGGCGGGTCCTCCTCCCACCTGAACGGTGTCCTGATACAAGAGAAGAGACACAGGTGGCAAGGGGAGCTGGCTATCTGCTGATGGAGGTTGATGCAGCCACAAGCCAAGGGCACTACAAGATTAGCAGGAATCTCCAGAAACTCCTTCTCAGAGCCTGCAAAGGAGTCAAGGTGGCTGATTTGGAATAATGGTACCAACCTCAAGAACCATGAGCTAAAGACGCCACGGTGGTTTTGCGTCGTGCTTGTTACGCAGCAGTAGCTAACTGAGACACAGAGTGCCCCGGTGGGGTGAGGGAAAAGGAGGGAAAAGACCTCCCCCTGATTATTCTCATTAAACAATTCGCCCGCTTCCGATTGGTTGATGAGGAGGTGACGTCCGGAGAGAGACGCAGGGCTCTGATGGGTGGCTTGTTTTTAAGACTTTATCATTAAAAAAAAAACAAAACAAAGTTGACATTAGAGAAGGGGATGGGGAGAGAGAACGGGGAGTGGGTGGGAAGGTGAAGGGAATCTCCCCAAATTGTCGGATCCTGGCCCTCCTCCCTTGACAGCCCAGCCCACTCCAGTCCCTTCTCTGTCCTGGAAGTGGGGCTTCCGGTCGCCATCTTCTGAAGCCTCAGGTCCAGGCCAGCTGAGGGGAGGGCAGAGGCGAGGCTCACAGCCTGGAGGCCCTGTCTTTGTCCTTGAGAGGCCCTTGAGGGGGCACTCGGGCCCCTGTGTCCTAGCAGGAGCCCCAGGGAGGTAGGCGTTGAGTGGGGGAGGAGCCTTCAGAGGTGGGGTCCTGGAGCCAGAGGACCAGGTGGGAACTGAGGCCGGGTGTGGATCACAGTCTGGAGGCTGGGGTCTGTGGAGAGGGGAGGAGAGGCCGAGTCAGAAGGGGAGGAGGGGTCCACCTCACAGCAGCCTGGGAGGTCCACCTCACTGCTCCCCTGGGAGCAGTCTCTGCTGGCTCCAAAGTAAGAGAGATGGAGCCAGAGAGTGATTAAGAGAAGAGACAGGGATTCTCAGAGAACCACAGGGGCAGAGAGAAGGTTAGAGAGAGCCACAAAGGGAAAGAGACAGAGACACGAAGAGAGAAGAGATGGCACAGAGACAGAGAGAGAGACTAAGGGAGAGACAGACAGAGACGACAGACGGAAGGGAGGAGATGGACAGAGAGAAGGAGAGACAAGAACAAGACAGAGACGGAGAGGGAGAGAAACAAAGGAACAGAGACAGGGAGAACAGGCTCACGGAGATCAAGGTAGAGACAGAGAGAGACAGAGTCACAGCCCTAACAGGCAAATGTTGTTTCCATGTGCTTCGTTGTAAGGGGTCCTGCTGGCGCCGTGGGTGACACACTGCTCTACTAACCTCAAGAATGGTGGTTCGAACCCACCAGCCATGGCGATTGAGAAAGATGAGACTGTCTGTTCCATGAAAAGATCTCCAGTCTCGAAATGCCAACAAGGGCCACTCACTATGTATCAGATTCAACTTGACCGCAGTGGGTTCTAGACGCTGTTGCTGCTACGTGCTGATGTCTGGATCCCGGCCCGCAGCAACTCTACAGAACAGAGTTGGGCTGTCCTCACAGGGGTTCCAGGCTGTGATTTTTATGGGGGCTGACGACCAGGTCTTCTGTGGAGCAGCTGGGAGGTTTGAACCACCAAACTTTAGGCGGGCAGCTGCGTGCTTCACCATGGTGCCCCCGGGGGTCCTTACCACAAGAGAGAGTGTGAGGAATGGTGATGTAGAGAAAGATGGCAGTCTACAGAGACAGACGCAGAAGCAGGCAGAGAGAAGAGAGAAAAGAGACAGAGAGGGAGGGAGAGAAAGAAAAAAGAGAATGGGGCTTGGGGAAGTCGCCTGAGAAGCCTCCGCCACCTTGTAGCTCCTGACCCCAGTGGCCAGCTGGCACCTAGACCAGGCTGGTCACAGCGATCGGTCACTGTGGACATGAGTCGTCCATGTGTCCACCAAGCTTTTTCCCGGGTCAGACACCCATCACCTCCCACCACCGGTAAGCGCTGGCCCCGGGCTCCTTTCCTCTCTCTCACTGAGTTAGTTAATTGTGCCAGCCTGGCCGATAATCACATGTGGTGCTGGTTGAAAGGCGGAGGGATAAATGGGTGGTGAAGCCTCGCCTTTCAAGTTCTCGGGTCTCTTGTTTTGTGATGGTTGAATCGGGTGCAGCTGCCTTAGCAGTTCCTTGCTTCAGCTTGCAAGATGGATTTCCTACAAGACATCCCCAAGGAGAAGCCGCATGGATCTATCCCGATGCAGCCCTGGGTGCTGGAGCAGCCGTGTGGAGACCCCTGCCAGTGCTGAGATGCTTACACGTTCATTGACTCAGCTTTCCTCCTGCAGTCGGCATTATTGCCTCTGTTTTGTGAGGTGAAGGACTTTGTGGACTGGTGTTGGGTATGGGTTAATGTTGGACTTGTGGGCTTGGGCAGCATTGGGTTGGGATGTTTTCGTGATGCACATTTTCTTTACATAAAACTCTCTCTTATATGTGAGTCTCCGTGGATTTGTTTCTCCAAAGTACCTAGACTAATACACTCACCCAGCCTGCCCAGGGCTAGCCCAAGTCCTCCCTGCTCCTCTGTGGGTGGTGAGTCCCCTGATTCCTAGGTACTCTACGTTTTTGCACCTGCTGGGCCCTCTATTGGATACCCTGCCTCGGTCCTTCCATTCTCCTGGCCTCATTTACAAAGCCCTCTCCTCCAGGAAGCCTTCCCTGAACCCACCAGTCCAGTCTGCATCAGATGCCCCCTCCTGCCGGAAACCCTCCCTGACTGCTGAGTTAGATATTCCCCTCTGGGATGCCCCAAATCCATCCCACCCACTCTTGGGTCATCACTGTCTGGGAGTGAGCCTGCCGTCTCCACTAGACTGTGTGCTTTGTGAGGGCAGACGTAGGCTCTCATGGTCAACGCCGGATCCTAGGTTCTGTCCAGCACAGGGTGGGGCACTGATAAGACTCAGAGACCATGTGTTGATGAATGAATGAATGAATGAATGAATGAATGAATGAAGAGATGGTAACACAAAGGCACTTGAACTTTGTCCTGAGGGTATCAGAGAGGCAAAGGTTTTCAAAAAGCCCCAAATGATAGTGTGTCAAGGTCTGAGCTGTGCTTTCGAAATTCTAGCCTGCCTCTCAGTGCTGTTCCTTCTGTTTTTATCATCTGGAAAATGAGATGGAGGGATGGAGGGATGGATGGATGGATGGATGGGTAGATGGATGGATGGGTGAGTGGATGTATGGATGGATGTAAATAGCACCAGTCTTTTCCTCTTATGTTGTCATGGAGACCACATGGATGCTCTTAAAAAGTGGGGCCACAATGTCCAAGCTCAAGAAAGTCTCAAGACCTAGGAGAGTAGAAGAATGTACCCCAATACCTTCTCCCCCAGTTCTGCCTGACAGACTCCTATTCACCCATCAGTGTCCCTGTCAGAGGCCACTTCCCAAGATGTCTTCTTTTGATGCCCACGACTGACCCCCTCCTCGGGCAAACTATGTCTTATTGTTTCAGTAGCCCCACCAGTTTCCAGTAACTCTTTCCCCACAAGACTAGAAGCTTCTTAAGAGTAGGACCCTCCCTGATGCATGTCTGATCCTGGGATGGAGTGAGGGTTGAGCTCATGCTTGGAGAATGGATGAACAGATGGAGGCTTGTGTGGGTAGACAGGAGGGTGATGCATGGATTATTAATGGACATGTGGGTGGGAAGATGGATGGAGAAATGGATGTGTGGTGGGTGGATGAATTAGTGTAGAGGTAGGGGCATGGGTGGGTGGATGTATGCTTGTACATAGGTGGGTGACTGATATATGGATAATTATCTGGGTCAGTGGATGAATGGATGGGTAGATTGATGGATAGGTGAGTGGACACAGATAATGAATGGATGAATAGATAATGGATATATGGATGGGTAGATTGATGGATAGATGGGCATATAGATAATGGATGGATAGATGGATAAATGGATGGGTAGCCTGATGGATGAATAAATGGTTGGATAGTTGGATGGGTAGATTGATGGATAGATGGGTGGATAGATAATGGATAGATGGATAAATAGATGGATGGAGGGATAAATAATGGATTATGGATGGATGAATCCCCAAATCTTCCCCAAGATTAGTCCACTACTGGCATGGGGAGATCCTAGAGAGGTTTGAGAGTTGCCTAGCCCCCACGCCCTTTTCCCACCCCACCCCACCCCCGCCCCAGACCTTAGACACTCACACATTTCCTGAATCCACCTCTATAGATAATGCCACTCTCCTTCTAAGTTCAAACTCATTCCCATCGATCCTGGAAAACAAAGGTATTTCCATCCACAAAAAGGGTAGTGGGTCTTCCCCAGTCACCCTCATTGGCCCCTAAGTCCCCACCCCCACCCCCACCCTCCCATCTCTTCCTTCACGGAGGCATCTTTCAAAGGGACTGTCTTTTGTCTTCAGTTACCAGTGAAGGGACCCCTCAACACAATGGGATGAAGCAGTGCCCACCCTGCGCTGTCCCCACTGGTCGGTGGTGGTTTGGCTGCCGTGAGTCCTGTAGTCTGTCTTGGTCTAGAAGCTCTACCGACACCTGCCCATGGTCACAGCCGCAACTCGCAGGCCTCACTGACAGACAGTGATGGCTCCTTATGGGGGACACTGGCTGAGAGTTGAACTTGGGTCTCCCAGATGGGAGGCGGAAGAGTTCTACCACTGAGTCCCCACTGCCCCTAGTGGTCTTTGAAGGAAGACAGGGGACTTTGAACGTGGGTTCTGTCTACCCCTTATGCAAACGAGGATCCTGCATTATCCATGAACTTCATCCCAGGAAAGGGGGTTGGGATGGGAATCCTGGTTTAGAGGTGAGACCTGGCAAGCCAGGGACGGGGCCTTACCTGGTGGCCTTCCGGTCACATGTGACTGAGTTTCCGTGTAGCCGCCGACGGGCTGGCTTTCTGGGCTGAAGGCTGCACCCTGCCCTGCGGAGGGGGTTGAGGGGTACAGACTGAGCTCCAAGATGCCCAAGTGCTGGCTCCCATCCTCCCTGGGCAGTCCCAGGCCTGCCTCCCCACCTTCTCCCTGTACCTGTGCGATTGGATTGATCGATCATCGGCTGTACAATTCGTCTCCGGGCGTTAATGAACCTGGGTGGGCGTCGTGGATACGGAGGGGTGTGTAAGGGGGAAGTGGGGCCGGGGCAGAGGCGGACCCAGAGACAGAGCGAGCCGGGGAGTTAGGCCGGGGTCCTCCAGGGAGCCGGGCCGCCTTCAGCACCGCGGACAGCGCCCTGCTCGGCCACTCACCAGTTGTTGACCTGCAGGATGGTGAGTCCCGTGTCTTGCGCCAAGTGTTTCTTTTGCTCCTCCGAGGGGTACGGGTGCTAGGGTGACCGGTATGAGTCACCCGGCCTGCTCGCTTCCGCCGGGGCCCCCAGGTGCGCCGGGCCGGGAAGCCAGCGAGGTGGAGCCCCTGGGTCTCTCTGGGGACCCCGCGGAGAGGAAGCTTCTCCAGCGCCTCCCCAACAATTAGAGGATAATGGTGGGCCCGCGAAGGGGAGCTTACTGGGGAGGGGGCTTCCGACCCACAGGCGAGAGAGGAGAAGCCCTGGCGACCCCCATCAGGGTCCCTAGGGAGTCTCTTTCCGCTTCCTCTCTCTGATGCTTCCCCCCCGCCTTCCTCTGGCTCTGACCCCCTCTCTGTGTCTGTCTGAGCCTGTCCCTGTTTGCTTATTTCTCTGACTTAATTTCTCTCTCTCTCTCTCTCTACTTTTGCATATCTTGTGCCTTTATCTCTGTGTCTCTCTCCCTACATCGGTATCCCTCCCATATCTCCCTGTCTCTTTCCCTTATCTCTCTCCCTGTATTTCTGGGCCCCTCTCCCTACCTCTCTGTGTGTGTCTTTCACTCCCCCCGCCCCTTCCCCCTGCCCCCGTGGATGGGTCTGTGGGTCTCTTTATCTCTCTGTGTCTCTTTCTCTCTATCTCTCCATCGCTCTCAGAGCCCTGGTGGCATAGCCCTGGACGAATTGGGCTGATAGCTGCAAGCTCGGCAGTTCGAAACCACCAGCAGCTCCATGGTTGGAGAAAGTCGGGGCATGCTACTTCTGGAAGCCACAGAAGCAGTTCTGCCCCGTCCTGTAGGGTTGCCATGAGTCGGCATCGACCGGAAGGCAGTGGGTTTGGTTTCTGGTTTTGTTCTTTTGGTCTCTCTCACTTTCTCAGTGCCTCTCGCCTTGTGTCTCTCGGTCTCTCTCCCTCAGCTCCATCTCTGTGTGTGTCTCTGCCTTTCTCCCCTTGCTCTCTCTATCTCGGTGTGCCTCTGTCTCTCTCCCTGTTTCTCTCTATGCATCTCTGTGTTTCTCTCTTGCCTTGCTCGGGTGGAGTCCTCCCTGAATCTCCATTTGTCAGCCTCTCCAAGACAGTGCGGTGCAGCGGCTAAGGCCACACCGTGGTGTTTAACCCACTTCTGGCTGTGTGACGTTGGGCATCCCCCCCGCCCCAACCTCTCTGGGCTTTGGTCTCCCCACAAGCAAAAAGGAGATACTCAGCCCGTCCCTCACAGAGTGTAGTTGGATGGGTGGGTGGTGAATGATAGATGGGTGGGTGGGAAGACTGTAGAGAGAAACGAGTGAGCTAAATACCATAAGTAGCTGACAGTGGCCTTAGGTGATACAATAATTAGTCTCTCTTTCCTGGAGAAGCACAGGAAGGAAAGGTCCAGAACTGGAGGAGGAACTGCCTCATACTTCCATGAACAAGGGCTTCCTTTGCCGTGAGACCAAAAGCAATGGATGGTGGGTGCCCAGTCACCATGATTGAATATTTTTTATCAAAGGTTCTATCCATGCATCCTGATCAAAAGGGGGGCGCATACAGGACAGACTTCCAAGTCCGCATGGAATCCAGACTTCCTGGATCCATGGAGGCGACAAGAAACTATGGCTCTGAGATCATCTTTCAATCTTAAACCCAAACATCCACTGAAGTCCTCTTGGTACCAACACTCCTCAATAGCTAGTTTCCATCGGGAACGTACATCTGCTTTCACTGTCTTTGTGAGACCAACTTGACTTTGGCAACCTGAAAGACTACATGAGGAGCGTAGGGGGCGGGGAGTCTGTGTGAGTCATGGTGACGGGATTTGGAAAAGGGCACGGAGGAAGAGAGCCACAACTTGAAGAACGCCACCAGCGTGTCAGTGAATTGCACATGTTTTCAAATGTGGGCTGGCGTGTTAGCGTTTGCCATTCATAGCTCCACCAAAAATGAAAATAAAGTAATGATAATACGATAGCTGCTGCAAGCAGGCCCTGCCACGCGGGAAGCACGCCTGGATTTGCTCTCCTCAGTCCTCATTGCTTGAAGAGTCTCTCTCAATCACCTCCCACCTCTGATGTCTCACGGGGCTCAGCTTCTGTGTGGCCACCCTTCACCATCTCTCTGTGCCCAGCCCACCTCCCGAGGGCCACAGGGCTCTCACCGAGAGATGCTGGAACAACCAGGCTCTCATGATGTTGGTGGCCACCTTGGGGAAAATCCCCCTCTTCTTGTTCCTCCGTCGCTCCTGATCCAGTTCCTCATCTTCTCCACCAGAGCTGGGGGAGGCCACGCTTGTGTCCAGCCCATCTCCTGAGAGGGGACAGGCATGCTGTGTGTGTGTGGACAATGAGGGGCCAGCGTGGACTCTAGAAGCCCAGAACCCTCCACCGTGACACCCCTTCACACCCCAGCATTCCTTCCCCCCTCCAGAAGCCCTACGTCCAGGCTAACTTCAGTCCTGATGGACTCTTATGTTTGTCCTCTGTCTCTCAGACTTCTCACCTTGGTCGCTGGAGTTGTCTCCACTCTGGGAGGCCAGGCCTCCGCTGGATGGACCCGGGGTCCCCAGATGTACAGATCCGCTGTCCTCGTGGTCTCGAATCCATGTATTGTTCTGGAAAACAGGAGTTGGAAGTTGGTGCCGAGACTCGGAGCACGATTTATCACGTGTGGTGGCGACCAGGAGCTCTGGAGCTGGGATGACAACAGGGTGTGAGGTCTGTCCTCCTTCCTGGATGCATGACCTTGGCTGCGTGACTTGACCTCTCTGCATCTGTTTCCCAAACTGGAAAATGGAGGGAGGGCGACAATGCTCTCGTTGAGGATTAAACGAGTTAATTGATGGAAATCCAAACGGGGTTGATTTCAGCTCGTGGTTTCAGAGTAGAAGGGCTCTATGCATCTCTCTGGTTCATCTTTGGAAAGTAGATGACCAGGCCTTCCTTCCGAGGCACTGCTGAGGGGATTCGAATCGCCAACCTTTAGTTAGCAGCCAAACACTTAGCTGCAGGTGCTACCGAGGGACTCCAAGTGACATAAAGAAACAGAAACATCAAGCTCACTGCCGTGCGTCCACTCTGATTCACAGAGACCCTGTGGGCAGAGTAGAACTGCCCCCTGTGGATTTCTGAGGCTGTAAATCTCTACGGGAGCAGAAGAAAGCCTTATGTTTGTCCTGTAGAGTCGCTGGTGGGATTGAACCGCTGACGGTGTGGTTAGCAACTCAACACATAACCCACTGCAGCACCAGGGCCCCTGGAAGACACACAGTATCACGCAATACAGTCCATGGCAACTTCTCTGCAAGCCTAGGGGCCGGATGTGTTTCGGCCTCTTTCGAATTTGCAGACAGTTAATCGGAGCTTATACTGCGTGGTTCCTAATGCCTGGAGGAGGGCCTGGGGCTATAACCTCGTCATCAGACTCATTTAACATTTCTGCCGCCAAATGGATGGATAGTTAACTAAGTGGAATAAATACAAGCTATTAATAGCCTCACATTCGTTCAGGTCAGGTTTGGTTCCAAATGAGTTTACACTAAACGTAAAGGAGGAGGAAAATAAATCATTCCGTTTGCAGAAGCTGTGGACTCTCCACAGTGCAGGGAAGAGAATCTGGGTCTGGTGACGTGACAGTGGTATCTCTAAACTCTCACACACTCTTTGGGGACCCGACAATGTGGGGGGTTCACTCTGTGCCCCTGCTCCGTGTCCCAGGCTGACCTACCCATAATGGTGAAACAGAAAACCTGGAACCATCCAGTAGATTCCCTCTCGTGGCAACCCCGTGTGTCACAGAGTGGAACTGCTCTGTGAGGTTTTCCTGGCTGGCGTCTTTATGGAAGCTGACAGCCAGGCCTTTCTTCCGCAGTGCCACCAGGTGGGTTTGAACCACCCACCTTTAGGTTAGTGGTTGAGTGCAAGGCAACTGCATCCCTGGAAGACTTATGAGTCACCCACATGGTGATAATCAGGACTCCCTTGTCATCTGGCTTTAAGGTTTGGGTCTATCATTAGGAGGCACCAACAAAACGGGGTGAGGATGAGGCTAACTTATTTGTCCCTGTGACTGCCATAGGTTGGCTGTGGGTAGGTCTCAGCTCTCAACAAACTGCTCTCTCTTTTCCAACACCCATCCATTGTGTCAAGCACATTTGTACAAAGGTTGCCATCATCATTTTCAAAACATTTTCTTTCTACTTGAGCTCTTGGTATCAGCTCCTCTTTTTCCCCCCTCCCTCCCCTGTCCTCCCACCCTCGTGACCCCTTGATAATTTATAAGTTATTATTATTTTCATATCTTACACTGTCCCCTGTCTCCTTCACCCACGTTTTTGTTGTCCATCCCCATCTAGTAGTGCACTTATATGTGTGTGTGAGTGTGTGCACCAGCACATGGTACTCCCACTATATCCTTCGTTGTGTCACTGTCGCAGAGTGGAGGTGTGAATGATGTGTGCATTTGTGTGCCCTGTGGGAAGGCCATCTAATCGTGACTGTGTCTGAGGCCGTGTGCTTTGGTGCATGTGTGTGACTTAGTGCTATACCCAGCTATGTCTGATCGCGGCTCAGATAACATCTTGTGGCCCACCTGGTCTTGGAGGCTGGGGCAGGAAGATAAGCAGTCCTCAAGGTCCCCCCTGCAGCCACCATCCCGATCCTCGATGACCAGGTCGATGGGCATCTTTCCCTTGAGGCAGGTGATGTAGCGGTGACAGAAGTTGTCGCACAGGTCATGGACCTGGGGGGGCACCGGGGTACTTGGGGGGCCACCCGGGGGGCCAGGGCTGGGGTGTACAAGGACGAGGGTGGTATTCTGCTCCAACTCCAGTGGGGAAAGAGCCCAGAGGAGGGGTGGAGCGTGTGAGAGAGAGAGAGAGAGAGAGAGAGGCAGGGGACTGGGAGACAAGGTGAGGGTGTGAGGAGAAGTGTGAAGCACTCACCTTCTCCAACTCCAGCAGATGGAACCGGAGTACCTGAATGGCCTGGATCATCTGTAAACAGCAACCAAAAAAGAGACGGAGGTGCAGAGAAAGAGAGAGAGAGAACACGGACAGCCAGGCAGGAAAACAGAAAGAACGAGGCAGAATGACGAAAGCCGTAGACAAAGCAAGAGGGACAGAGACGGAGCAAAGGGGGAGAGAGAAAGAGACAATGCCACAGGCGCGGAGAGAGGAAGAGAGAACGAGCGATAGAGACCAGAATTAAGAACGAGAGAGGATTAGATGGAGAGGCAGAGAAAAGGTGAAGAGGGCAGAAAAAGGGTCATCACAAGAGGAGTGAGCAACAGGAGGAGCTCCTTCTATGCCCCACCGTTTGCTCTTTGGGGCCTCCACTTCCACTTCCCAGAGTCCTTTGCCAGTAGGCTTGACCAATAGGAAGTCTTGGAGGGAGTTTGGGAGCCCAGCAAGGGGAGAAACCAGAGTATCTCTCCTTCCCTCCCCTCCCCACCCGTCTCTTGTTCTCTGGTGGGTAGCAGAGGCTCCCTGTCATGTTGTCCAGGTTGCCTCTGCTTCCCATTGACTTCTCAACGCCCAAGCACCTTGATAGCTTGGGCGCTTGTTTTCTTACAGGCACTGTTCTGGCCAATAGAACATTGTTGTTGTTAGTTGCCGTGGAGTTATTACTTTAAAAACATTACGTTTTTTAATTTTTTAGTTGTGTTCAGCTCACGGTGACCTTATCTATGAAGGAACTTCAAAAAACGTTCAGGGGTGGGGAGGGGCTAAAAATCCATGGACTTTGCATTCCATTCCCCCACCTAAGTCCCCTTGGGCAACAGAAGGCGACACAGCCCAGGCTTGCTTCATCTCCACAGTGTCCGCTATGTTTGAGCCCGTGGACAATGTAACAGCTCAGGCTCAGGGAGTTCTGATCTGTGCAGTGTACTGAACGTTCGCCTTGCACCGGCTCCTGAAGTCCTCTCCGTGGTCCTCCAGCGGAAGTGACAGATACACCACCCCTCACCGTCACGGCAGACGGCAGCCTTCAGCGTGGCTTGCACGGGAGTGGAAACCACAACCCTCAGACCTGGACCGAGAAACCGCATCCACGATTCATGGACAAAGGATCGGCGTGGCCAAGGGGGGCCTGCCTTGCTTGGCCCCCCCGCACTCTGTGGAAGTAGTGGTCAAGAAATCCAACCGTGCATCACGCTTGGGTACACCCGCCGGCGCCTGACCTCTTTCAGGGGTTGAAGACCGAGAAGGTCACCTTGAAGACTAAGGTGCGCCTGACGGCAGCCGTGGCCTTTCCAGTCACCCCCGCCCCCAGGCACGTGGGAGTTGGACATTGAATACAGGAGACCCAAGGAGGCGAATCGGTGCATTTGCATTTCGGTGCTGGCAAAGAAGATCGGCAGGGTCGCGGACTGCCAAAAGAACAAGTGGATCTATCTGGGAAGAAGCATGCGCAGAACGTTCCTTGGCATCGAGGGTGGCAAGACTTCATCTCAAGGACACTGGGCATGTTAGCAGGGAGACCAGTCCCTGAAGAAGGACGTCACGCGTGGGAAAGTAAAGAGGAAGGCCCTTTGACAAGGTGGACTGGCACCGTGGCTGCATGGACGGGCTCCAATACAAGAACAACTGGGAAGACGGTGCCAGGCCAGGCGGCGTTTCTCTCGATCGCTCGCCAGGTCGCTATAGGTTGGAACTGACTCAGCGGCAGCTAACAACAACAAGATTTTGCAGGTGAGGAAAGTGGGGTTCCACGAGGTGGGGTGACGGGTCCTGATTCACAGAGGTAGAAGGTGGCGGGACTGGGAAGCAAACACAGACCCCCGGGGTTCATGTTCTCATGCTCTAGGCTACAGTGACCCCCTGGGTGGGGAACACAGTTCACCCACTCAGGCCCTACCCAGAAAGTGGGTGGTTCCGCCTTTACTCGGTCACGCCTTACAAGAAAGGCCTGGTGTGATCTCTTTCCTAAAGCTCATAGCCCCGGAGAGCCCAGTGGAGCCCAGGTCTACTCTGATACACACGAGGTCACCAGGAGTCAGAGCGGGCTGGAGGGCAACTGAGACGCTGCAGAAGGGAGACCAGGTGGCCTCCTCCTCCACCCAGGCCCAGGGCTGTGGAGGGTGGGACAAGGGACCCTGGGGAGGGCCCGGCTCTCACCAGATTGTCCAGCTCTGGGTTGGAGGAGAAGAGAGGCCTCTCGGAGCGGACCTGGGAGGGCGAGAAAGAGGCCAGGAGGGCGCATCCAGGCTCCCGCCCCTCCTATCTGGCTCTCCTGACACGCGGGGGAGGCGAGGTACGGGGTGGGGTGGGGGGGTGGCCCACCTGCTTGGCGAAGGCAGCAATGTCCTCGTTGAAAGAGTCCGATGAGCAGACGTCTCCTCCAGGCAGTGTGCCCAGCCCAACCCCAGCTCCATCTCGGGGTGAGCACGTGGCCAATTCACACTTCTCAAAGACCAGCGCCAGGAGCGGGAAGAGGGGGTGTCTGTGGAGGTCAGGAAGGGGAGAGTTAATGGGGGTGGGGGGCGCAGGTGGCAGAGGACTTGTAGAAGGGACAAGAAGAGGTAGAGAGACTTGGAGAGATGGAGCTAAAGAGAGGCACGGTGCGATGGAGACGTAGAAAAGTAGCGTGGAGGTAGAGGCACAGAGACGGCCATCGAGAGGCAGAGACAGAGAGGCGTGGAGACAAAAACAGAGGGAGACACAGAGGGGCAGGGACAAGGCGAGGGAGAAGAAGATAAAGGCAGGCACAGAGAGACTTGGGGAAAGCCAGAGGCACCTCCCCCAAGCCCCCCCTGGGACCCTTAGCCTGGTCCCCACTCACCCATAAATCTCATCCTTCTCCTTCTTCAGCCCATCATTGTCCAAGCCCTGGGCTGGGGGCTGAGGAGGTCGGTGGGCACTGTAGGGCCCCGGGGCTCTTGTGGTCTCTGTGAAGCCAGCCAAGGCTGCAGGGCCGTCCACGATGCTGGAGTAGTGGGGCAGCTCATTGTACTGGAACCGGGGGGTGGTGGGTGGGCAGAGAGAGGGAACCCAAGTGAGCAGCTACTGAGACACCTCCTCACCACCTACCCCAGGAAGCCTTCTTCCCTACCTATGAAGTGTCTGAGCCCCCACCTTCTTACCACCACCACCCCAGATGTCCCATGGGGCTGGACTCAGGGTGAGGGTGGCATCCAATAACCTTCCCTTGTCCCCTGGGACTGTGACAGATGTCTCATCGGGGGTCTCAGCTGTGTGGCCAGCTGAGGAGGACCCAGAGGAGAGAGACAGTGGAGGTCTCCGATCTGAGGGTGGGCCGGGAACCAGGATGGTGTCTGGCGGTGGGCATCTTGCAATTCCTCCCAGAGTGAGGAGGGGGAGAGGAGAGATTCCTAGAGAGGCATGGGGCAGGGTGGGAGATGTAGGAAGACAGGCACCCAGAGACAGAGATGGGGGAGATAGAGAGGAAGGTGCAAGGAGACAGAGAGAAGAACAGAGGAGAAAGGCAGAGACATGGGAGGGGAGGAGACAAAGAGAGACAGAGACATGGGAGAGGCAGAGGCACAAAAAGAGATTCTGGCCCCAGGGCACTGCTCTGTGCACACACCTGTACACAGAGGTTTGTTTGCACACTCTTCTCCTCGCAACTTCATTGCATCAAACATGCACCTCTGAGCACCCTAACTGCTTCGGTTGCACCCCACACACCACGTGTGTGCACCACACACACA